ATTCCTAATCAAACAACATTAAGAAATCATTAATACATATTGGCCATTAATAGTTGAGTTAAAAATTCATGTAAAAATGAAATAATCATGAACAAAGAAGAGAAAATTGTTGTTTGGAAGAAAAGTTGAAAATATTTTAAAATGTTTCAAATAATACAAATGATAACAACGCTTTTTTGATAAACATTTATCCGATTATCATTTTGAAACTGATTTTAGATATAAACAGGTCATCATGAGGATGAACAAAGGTAATATCAATTGAATCATTTAATAGTTTTCAACAAGTTTTTGGTAAAGGAAAAGATTTGAGATTTGTTTTGAGCCTAAATTGGTCAAGAGTTTGGTTGGCAATCAACTAAAGGTTAAATGGTTAAGATTGTCACTTTGACTTGTTTAACAATAATGATTGAAATGTTAATCAAATCTGGATGTAAAACAATGGATCGTGGTTCACAGGTTTGTTGTTTAATCGGTTGAAAAACACTTTTCATTTGTTTTCTCGTGAGTTCACTGTTGATGGGTTCAGCTACTTTTAGATGATCAACATGATGAGCATGGTGATGTTAAAGGTAGCCATTCATCTGATAATCAGAGTAACATTGAGTGAAGTCTGGAAAGTTTGAAAATAACATTATTTTAATTCATCTTGACGAGCCTAACAACCAGCAACAACAATCATCGTCAGAATCGCAAAATCTTGACTCTCATTACATAGTCTCACCTATTATTTTGCTCAATCTTTACATTCATTAAATCAGCTGATGATTGTGATAAGAGCAAGGCGTGTGTTAATCAGGTTCAGGTAAAATTAAGGAAAATGAGGTTTATTTTCTTCTTTTTCTTGAACCAAACAATTTTGTAAAGTAAAGATGAGGATGGAGGAGATGACGAAGAGCAAGATAAAGATAACAGATTCCAGAGATTTCAGTTCATGGTTATTATGATAATTACTAGTTAAAGATTCATATTGTTACTTAAACCATTCATGAGTATCCAGTCATAAAACCACTAATACCACTAATGGCATAATGCATAAGGATATTGTTCAGGGCGTTTAAACGGATACAATGAATTTATGAGCAAAATTTAACAAATTAGAATCACAATTGATTCTCATTTTAACTTTAATTTTTAAAAATTAAGAAAATATTAAGAAAAATTAACCCAAAAGCTTTGAATAATCAAGTTGTAAGATTTTACAATTTCTGGCTTTTTATAAATTTTTTATACTCTTTTAGATTCTGATTGCTTGTTATAAAGTCACTTTCATTTTTTGGGTTCAAGTGTTGAGGGTTTGATGTAAAACAATAAAGGTTATTTTTGCGCGAAAAAAACACTTTCATGTTGACAACGTGTTTACCAATTTTAAAATGATTAGTAAAAGTACCCTTTCGTTGTCAGACCAGAACACTTTCATTACTAGCCTACCTTTTTTAGTTACAATTGTATCTGTTTCAAAGTCAGTCAACTATTGATAATTAAAGGTTCATTATGAATCTCTCATGAAATTTTATGCTCAATGAATATGGAAAAGTGTCAAAACTCATCTTCTTTTGGTTGAATACAACATTTAAAACCACATTTCTCAAATGCACCAACAAGTCTTACCGACGTGAGGAAAAGGTAACGGAAAAAATTAGCGCATCTTAACCTGTTAAAGGTGCAACATTTAAATTACATTAAACAGTAAATAGACTTTAAATGATCAAACAATCAACACTTAAACAGTTAAATGATGGTTAATAATAAAAGTTTAATCGCTCATTGACATTAATCAAAATTGGATTGAAAAACCACTTTTCATTAATAGTTGATAGCGGGAAACAATTTAATCAATATGAAAATGACTCGACTGACCATAAAGGAATGAATCCTTTTAAGGAGCAAAAGCTGATCGACCGGACGTTGGTCGAGACTGAATATTGAAAACATGAAAATAGTATTACCTTTAAAAATCCCAATAAAACCTGTAAATAGACTGAAAAGGTAAAAAGAAAGTTGAAAGTAAATTGTTATACAGAGCGTGGTTATTGTCCAAGTAAACATCTTATCGAGCAGATGGCTATTTATGGTTTAAGACGAAGCACGTTGAATACGAGCTCAGGTTGAAGTAAATCAACTGCAGTACAAAATGTATCGCAACAACTCGTACACTGACCAACCTTCATTAGCAAACCAAAAGATGCAGCTTTAAGATTTACATCTGCTCTTTGAGTTTCAAGAGTCTACTTGTGTCCAGCAAAGTGTTGACTGGTGTCATTTGTTGATCGATATCAAACTAGTAAGATGAATTACTTTGAAATTCAAATTACATATGAAATAATTCATTGTAAACGTATTTAAACTTGAACATCTAAATGAATAAAAATGACTTTTTTTGTACAAAACAATGTTTTTCAATTTTATTATCACATGAAACTGTGCATTGATTAAAGACTCAAAGCAGCTGTTTAAACGGCAAAATTGTATAAAGTCTCTGATGTTGACTAACTGAACAATGTGACAACAATGGATGATAAAACAAAATAAATTCACGGATTGTTGTTGCATTGAAAAGATTGCTGTTTTAATGAAAAAAGTAACAAACCACAACAAAATATAATTTCATTTCAATTATTAATAAACTATATTTTAATTACATAATTAGGCTCTTTAGAGCAACATTGACGGTTATAACTACATTTTTTTGACAATCATTCACAGACAGGAACCGCTTTGTTAATGTTTTGTTTTCATTATCAACAAAAAATGAATCAAATTTATTCATAACTTTTTCATTGTTAACATCGCTTTTCGTGGTTAATTGAGTCTTTTACATAGGAAATACATTGTAATAAGCTATTACTAATAACAGTAACGATAAAAGCCAAAAGTGAAACGACACTAATCATTGCTATAATCATTACCGTCCTCATCAACAACAACAATAACAGTAAGAGCCAATGAAAAACATCTTTAGATGATCAACAAAAGACGAAGAAGAAGCAGACGAAATCTAAGAAAACCTTCGTAAATCAAAGGCCCAGACCTGACCTCTGACCGATGAAATAAGGGTAAGAGAGAGAAGAGAAAAATGGGGCAAAAGAAGGAGACAAAAAAAGAGACTGAAATGAGTCTTCGATCAACAGGTAAAAGGTAAGAGATGCTAAGTCACCCTTGGAGAAGGTGAAAGCCTTTTACAAAGGAAACCCAACGATTTTGACCTGGACTACGGCCATCTTTAAACCTTCATAAATCAATTGGTTTCTAAAAAGACTCTCTTCTCTCTTCTTTGTACTTGTTCATCTTACTCTCTTCATCCTCCTTCTCTTCCAACCTTAGGTTTCTTCTACCTTCTCTCTCTCTCTTTACCTGGCAACTGTAACCAACAAAAAAGTCTTTAAACCTAAGGCAACCTGAAAGCGGGCAAATGGTCTTACAATGCGCGCGGGAAAACAGGTTTTATAATGTTCAGTTTAACTTTTTGAATTTGATCATTTTCCCTGCTTTTTTTCTTCTCTTTCCTTTTCTCTCTTTCTTTTAACTGTAAGGCTAGAAGAGAGTCAGAAGTGGACAGAAGGGAAGAGAGAAGAAGAGAAATAAGAAAAGGTAAAATGAGCTAACCTTGCTTTCTAACCATTTTTTTGCAACTTGTTTGCTGTTGAAAAGTCTCCTCTTACTTTACACTCTTCTTACCTTTTGCCATCATTTTCATCTTGATCCTTCTTCATCTTATACTTCAATCTTTTTAAACTCAATCTCTTAACTCTCTTCATCTTCATCTTTGCGCTCCTTCTCAATAGCGTCTAATTTGAAAAAAAGTTGATATTTCGTTGACACGCCTAAAGCCAAGGTTACCTAAGGTTTACTCAGTTGTATATATGTAAAGTAGATATAATAGTAACATCTCAGGAGATGATCATGATAATGAGAAGAAGATGAATTACAAGAAACAATGATGAAGGGATGAGAAAAGAGTAAAGAATGGATAATGATACTGGAATATAAAAAAGTCAATTGAATCCATTGAAATATTCAAGGTGGATCAATAAATGATTCAAAGGTTTATGTTGTTTAAACACAATTGTTCAAATGAATTAATTGCTGTAAGCAATTAACTGTTAACCAAAGGTAGTGACCATTGAAAAAGACTAAATTAGAAGCTACAATTGAACATGGCTTGAAACGATTTGAGTCACCATTAAGTTACAATCCAACAATGCAACGTTGTTTACACCTTTTTTTAATCTTAAATTGTAAGCATTAACAGTTTCGATGTAAACACACGTGGAATCAAAATTATAATCACGAAAACAGAAGACAATCCAACTGAAGGACTAATTATGATTATCATTGCTGAAGTTGACAATGAAATTGTTGATCATTTTGTAGGTAATCTTAACAACTAAGGTAAAAAATCAAGAATATTGTTTTACTCATTAAAAGGACTTGAAGACAAAAGATTATAATTACAGGTAAACATTGAGCATATTTAATTTCAATATTGAAATTTTAGTGCAATTATTGTCGCCTCAGTTACGGTAACCCTGAATCTTTGATTGCTATTGTTGATGACAGTTTTCAATTGATATCTAAATATTAAACTATCGCTTATTAACTCAGTTACTTGATTGTTTTGGTCTCGAGAAAATCATTTGATAGCAATTTATGAATGGGAAAATGACTGCAAATATTGAACTTTACTATCAAACATGCTTCAAATTGAATGGAGAAAAGTCAACTTTTAAATTTAAATTGATCAGAACTTATTTGACTCTAGACTAGATGTTTAGAGTTTTGATGTTTTCCGTAATTCAAACTAAATTGATATAACTCATGTTTGGATTATAAATTTACTATTGACAATATAATTTATCATATCTTTATAATTACTGTTACAAACCAAACATCCAACGTCAATGTATGAAACTATTAAACATGAAAAAGTTTGTATTGGTGGAGAGCAAGTCAATACAAGCTACAAATAAAACTGTTAGTAGGTTAAGTTGTGGACTTACTTGAATAGCGCTGTTGAGGAAACAATTGTTTTGACCTGGCATATTAAGTAATCCTTTTGCAGTTGCCATAGTCGGCTTCAATATTTACACGGTTTATCAACGAACTGAGTAAATGATGGACGAAAGGAGTAGGTCAACTTAATTATGTGCCTACTAGATACACTCATGTGTTAACATGTTAAGTCGACACATTAACAAATAACAAGATGGAAACATGAAAGAAGCAAATGAATCCAAGCAAAATGGCGTTTATTGTAATTAACAACTTGAAGTAACTTTAATTTTGATAACTTTATTGTCCTGTTTATTGGATAACAATATTAAATCCCATTGATTAGGTAAGGCAAAACGGATCACAATAAACAATGTTTAACATAAAACATGAAGACTCAACACATTTACATTAACTTGGTTTGCTTTGAAAACACAACTAAAGTTACTTCAACTGTTGATCAACATTGTACAAACCAAAAGTGGTTATTCAGCGCATAAAACAACGCATGGAACTCCCGATACTCCATCTGACGTTCATCTAAATAACTACAACGAGTAAACTTGACGATGTAAAAGCCTTTACTGTTAAGGTTTTACAACAAAGCTGTCAAGAAAGTTTGACCTCAAAAATTCGGGCTCTGTTATTTCAAGAATGTTGATACTTACAATAAACCTTTTTTCACCCTCTATCATATTTATCAAGAGCTATAATATTTTTAATATGTGATCTAACAATGCACAGTGTTTTGTATTACATTTGAAATTTCAACTTTGAATGCGATTTTATCGAAAAGCCGAAAACCGAAAGTAAAAAAATTTTAATAGCCTGAATAGACTTTTTAACTCATTTTGTTGATCTATCATTATTTTGATTATCAACCAGAAAATGGACTTATTTTTGGGAAATAAAATCATTTGTTTCTGTACAACAGATTAGTTCGATTTTTCAGTTAAATCGACCGATTTCTGTGACCGACAGAGTTAAAGAGCTAAAACTTATTATCCGTCGATAAAAATTGTTGGTAAATATCACTTTTTCAATTTATCAACAGTTCTCTTGATTTTAAAAAATTTTCACTCAATATTTCGATAGCGCTTTCAATCATCATTCTTCGGCCAATCATTAGATTTTATCATGGACTAAGGTATGACTGGTAAAGAATGACATCAATCAATTTAGTCCAGGGTTGATTCGTCATTGGTCCCTTCCCAGGCTTTCATACTGAAATTTTTTTAATTATTGACGATAGATGAAGGAAATTTCGCATTTTGAGGTCAGCTCTCTTTGAGAACTATTCCAGCCTTCGGCGAATTGTTAAAACGGGCGAATTTGCGCTTTGTCATTTTGGTCGGTTTTCGGCAAAAAATCCCATGATTTGTTATATTTTATTTATTGAATTTACGGTATTTATATTTGATTTAAGGCTCGGATAACATTTGATACTCCAGAATTGATGAATCTTGATGAAATTTATCAAAAGAATGTCAATTTGGCTGTTGATCGATTCATGAAGTCATTCAATTTAAAATTTATTCTTATCAATATAAATGCAAAATAATTGATTTCTAATTTTGGATGAAATTTGTGCTTTTTTCATAAAATGATCAGAATTACCAATACGATTAACATTACCATTGGCTATTGGATTTGGTGGGTTAATCACGGCAATAATTGCTTTAATCGTTGCTTGTCAGGCAAATTGGAAGATTACAAAATATGAATTTAAAAGTGCTGAAAGAAGACGAAGAGAACGAGAAATCGAAGAAGTCCATTTGAAAATATATGAACAAGTAATGCATGGTGATAGGCATGATCCTTATATCAGTAGTGATAGTTATGGACATTCACTGGAAAGGCTAATACGTAAATGATTTTTTTATCAAAAATCTTATTTATATTTTCGTTTCTCAATGATTCACGTTTTGATCTTGTTGAACTTTTTGTTAGATATTTCGATTTGTAATTAAAGAACAAAAATATCATCGATTTATGTTCGATTTGAAATGAATATCAATAATATTGACCATTCTGATCTCAATATTTTTCTTTATTTACACAGAAAGAGATATATTTTCAATATTTATATAATATATTTATAATAAAAAAGACGAGCTTAAATAATTCCATGTATCATTTTCAGCATCCTCATCATTCTGATTTCAATCCTTTTTTCGTTTTGGATTGAATTATTGATTCAGCGTCTATTAAGTCGATTTGATAAAGAGATTCTTCTTCACTCGTCACTATGCCATTATCTAACATCGATTGGACTATATGGCTAATAATCACTGTCAAATTACTAAAGCATTTTATCGGTATTTATATTTGATTGAAGGCTCGGATAACATTTAATACTCCAGAATTAATGAATCTTAGAAAATGCAAGCTCTGAAATTTATCAGAAGAATATCAATTTGGTTGTTGATCGATTCATGAAGTCATCTCATTTAGTAAAATAATCAGTGAATTTTTTCAACTGATCCGAATTGAATCTTATCCTTTCATCTTTCTGCTTTTAAATATTTTCAGGTATGTGTCATCGTAAACAGGGAAAGAATTACAATGTGAAAAAGGTTTGTTGACATATTGCAATATTTTTCTGTTTTTCTCATTTTTTTAGACTTTATTTGTTAATTTATAACTTTTAAAGTATATAAAGGGACGGGAATCTCAGTATCTTTGATACCCTTGGTTCCACCCTGCTCCTTGAACTCTTCCTCCCCCTCCACGACCGTAATCTTGATACCCTCCTCTACCACCTCTTCCTCCACCTCTGTGACCTCCACGAGGATTGTCATAGCTTTGATTATGGTGGGGCTGTTGGTAACCAGATTGTTGGTAATCATCTTGATATTGGCCTCTGGGTTGATTTGAAGAGTGGTAACTTTTATCACTAGAGTGTGGTGAGAAAAATTGAAAGAAAAAATATGGTTAAATACAAAAACAAATTTCAAACAAAATCTTCTTCTTTGTCCGATTCATCAAGTGATGATAGTCATCATGACTATCTACCTTATGCATTTTCACCTGTTAAACTGGAATGACCTCCGTTAAAGTACATGTTATTGGTTTTTATCATATCATGCGTCGTTTACAGCAACTCTTTATCCTGTGCTTATGCTTTTAATGACATTTCAGTTATTGGAGATGTAATAAAGACATTAGACCCAGTACTCCTATTTTGCCAATCGATTTCTGGGGAACACCTATTAGAAAGGTAAGTAAGTACTTTCAAAAAGTTTCAATGAAACTTTTCTCTCGTTATAAAGATATTTATTTTCATTATGAGTTTAAATAGGTTTTCGAGTGATTCCCATCCAGTCTAATTCTGAGAGGTTTGACTGATTGAGTTATAATCCTATGTTCGGGCAACTTTTCCATTGTCTCTCACTGTTCTTCATTCTGTGAATGTATTAAACATTGATAAATCTTCAAATGAGGTTGGTTCCGTTTGTCCAAGCATTTGTAACATGTCTGATAATTCTTGTTGTGGTGGATGAGGACAGGATGCATTGGAATTTACATGATTTTGAGGATGATTAGGTGTTCCTGTTTTTGAGCGGAGGGTGAAGATGAGACTGGAGTTTCTGGTGTAGCAGTTCCTTGCCATTGTCCCTACATACCTAGTAAGAGAAAAAATGAAAGAAATTGAAATTAGAATATTTAATTCACTAACAAATCTAAGCATCATCATTACCTCTATTTCCAACTGCACTATTGAGCTGCGTGTAAGTTGTCCCTGATGGATTCCTTGAAGGTGGGTTGATTTGATTATATGCTTGATTGTAGCCGCCAGACTGTATGTCAAGAAAAATATAATTAGAACAGAATTTAACTCGAAAAGATTATATTTTAATATGGATAATTACCCTTTGAATAGGATTCATTGGATTCACAGATTGATCATATGAGCCGTAAACTTGACCAGCAGTTGGCGGAGGTCGATGATCATTAGCAATTTTTCGTCCATGTAAATGAGGCCGTGTTTGTTGAATCATTGATGAGTAAACATCTGAACGTTGTGAGCTGAAGTCTAAACCTTCTGACTTAGGTTGTTGATTAGTAGAAACTAAGTCAGTATTTCCTTGAATGGAATGAGATTGATAATTGTTCGTCATTGAGTTGTCAGCAGACGAATTTTGATGATCTTGCTGTGTAACGTAACCAACTTGATTAGTACTTCTAGGCAAAATGGGGAGAACGATGTATTAAATTATTTTATATTAAAAGAACCAATTCACAGATTTTAAACTTTTTGTTACTAACAATTTGTAAATCATAGCAAGTAACTAATTCAAGAAGAAATACTAACTTTGCTAATACATTAGTACAAACAATGTATTCAACTTCTTGTGAGTATGGATTGATGAAAGCAAAACTTGATGTTCGAAACCAAACCCAGTCACAATTTTTTGCACGAAATCGGTACATTGTCATGAATGTTTGTCCTTTGAGTTTTAATACTGCAATAAAATAGAAGAAAAATGTGTTACAAATTTGAGTATTAATTTATCAATAAAGATGAAATTTTGCAATATTGCTAAATGTTACCTTGTTCAAAAGCATCTTTCATCTGATTCTGATTCTCTGGGTGAATGAAGTCGAAACAAGATTTACCAACAAGTTCTTGTGGTTGATAACCGAGAAGAGCACCAACTCTCTGATCTACAAATGTGAATTTCCCATCCATACTGTGGCGAGTAATGAATTCTGCATTTGAATTAGATCCCATTAGATCACTGGTATCTGGAGTACTAGTGACTTGAAGTCTGCCAATGGCTACCAAACAAAACTGAGAGCCATGATGACCATCTTCTCTGTCTAAACCTCTTTCAATTGGAACACCAGCTGGAGGCCAATTCTTAATATAACCGGTACAATGAACAACAGTATATGCATTGCCATCATTTGAAGGACCCAAACTGTTTCTTTGACGTATACGATGGATATGACCAGGAGATAAGGCATCAGGTTGAATATTTCCAACTTTCATTCGAAAAATAAATGCTCTTCTAGATCCCATCGACATTCGTGATAAATTTTGACTTCCATCCTTTTTAACAGTTCCGGCTAAATAAAGGAATAGAAAGTTGTGAATAGAATAGAGAAGAACGAGATTAAATCAGTTGTCATTATTTAAATAGGTGAGCTAAAATTTCGTTTTTAAACATATAATTAGAAACTTACTTTTGAGGTCTAAAATTCTTGCTGAGTTGGGAGATTCTGAGGTCGAAAGTTGCTCTTGGACTTTTTCACGATCTTCAGGGTGAACAAGATCATATATACAAGAGTTGAAAAAATCTGATTGCGAATGATTTAAAACCGGTGTGACTGAATCAGAGACATAGATTATTCGGCCTGTATCACATTAAACTTGAACATCTAAATGAATAAAAATGACATTTTTTGTACAAAACAATGTTTTTCAATTTTGTTATCACATGAAACTGTGCATTGATTAAAGACTAAAGCAGCTGTTTAAACGGCAAAATTGTATAAAGTCTCTGATGTTGACTAACTGAACAATGTGACAACAATGGATGATAAAACAAAATAAATTCACGGATTGTTGTTGCATTGAAAAGATTGCTGTTTTAATGAAAAAAGTAACAAACCACAACAAAATATAATTTCATTTCAATTATTAATAAACTATATTTTAATTACATAATTAGGCTCTTTAGAGCAACATTGACGGTTATAACTACATTTTTTTGACAATCATTCACAGACAGGAACCGCTTTGTTAATTTTTTGTTTTCATTATCAACAAAAAATGAATCAAATTTATTCATAACTTTTTCATTGTTAACATCGCTTTTCGTGGTTAATTGAGTCTTTTACATAGGAAATACATTGTAATAAGCTATTACTAATAACAGTAACGATAAAAGCCAAAAGTGAAACGACGCTAATCATTGCTATAATCATTACCGTCCTCATCAACAGCAACAATAACAGTAAGAGCCAATGAAAAACATCTTTAGATGATCAACAAAAGACGAAGAAGAAGCAGACGAAATCTAAGAAAACCTTCGTAAATCAAAGGCCCAGACCTGACCTCTGACCGATGAAATAAGGGTAAGAGAGAGAAGAGAAAAATGGGGCAAAAGAAGGAGACAAAAAAGAGACTGAAATCAGTCTTCGATCAACAGGTAAAAGGTAAGAGATGCTAAGTCACCCTTGGAGAAGGTGAAAGCCTTTTACAAAGGAAACCCAACGATTTTGACCTGGACTACGGCCATCTTTAAACCTTCATAAATCAATTGGTTTCTAAAAGACTCTCTTCTCTCTACTTGTTCATCTTACTCTCTTCATCCTCCTTCTCTTCCAACCTTAGGTTTCTTCTACCTTCTTTTTCCTCCTTGGGGTAAAGGGGTAAAGGTAAAATGAGCTAACATTGCTTTCTGACCATTTTTTTGCATACGACAATCCAATTGAAGGACTAATTATGATTATCATTGCTGAAGTTGACAGTGAAATTGTTGATCATTTTGTAGGTAATCTTAACAACTAAGGTAAAAAATCAAGAATATTGTTTTACTCATTAAAAGGACTTGAAGACAAAAGATTATAATTACAGGTAAACATTGAGCATATTTAATTTCAATATTGAAATTTTAGTGCAATTATTGTCGCCTCAGTTACGGTAACCCTGAATCTTCATTTGATTGCTATTGTTGATGACAATTGTCAATTGATAACCAAATATCAAACTATCACTTATAAACTCAGTTACTTGATTGTTTTTGTCTCGAGAAAATCATTTGATAACAATTTCTAAACGGGAAAATGAGCTTATCAAACATGCTTCAAATTGAATGGAGAAAAATCAACTTTTAAACTTATTATAAATTGATCAGAGCTTATTCGACTCTAGACTAGATGCTTAGAGTTTTGATGTTTTCCGTATTTCAAACTAAAGTAATTGATATAACTCATGTTGGCATTATGAATTTACCATTGCCAATATAATTCATCATCTCTTTATATTTAAACTGTTAATAGGTTAAGTTGTGGACTTACTTGAATAGCGCTGTTGAGGAAACAATTGTTTTGACCTGGCATATTAAGTAATCCTTTTGCAGTTGCCATAGTCGGCTTCAATATTTACACGGTTTATCAACGAACTGAGTAAATGGTGGACGAAAGGAGTAGGTCAACTTAATTATGTGCCTACTAGATACACTCATGTGTTAACATGTTAAGTCGACACATTAACAGATAACAAGAGAGAAACATGAAAGAAGCAAATGAATCCAAGCAAAATGGCGTTTATTGTAATTAATAACTTGAAGTAGCTTTAATTTTGATAACTTTATTGTCCTGTTTTTTGATAACAATATTAAATCCCATTGATTAGGTAAGGCAAAACAGATGACAATAAACAATGTGTAACATAAAACATGAAAATATGAAACATTTTAAGTTAACTTGAATTGCTTAAAAAACTGATGTTACTAACAAACCTGAAACTTTGAACTGTTAATCAACTTCATACAAAAAGTGATGAAATTATATTCTAGAGAGACTCCATCTGATGATCATAATAATAACTATAACGAGTTGGAAACTTTACTGTAAAGGCTTCAACACAAAACTGTTAAAAAAGTTATCGTAAAAACGTTTTTACGTTTCTCTTGGCCTTAATGATTCGAGCCCTGTGATTTCAAGAATGGTAGCACTCACAATAACCTTCTTCGTCTATCATATTTCACAAACTTTGTAAGAGCTTTAATATTTTGAATATGAAGTGATCCAAGATTGTACAAAATATGTTAAAGCACTGTATTTTGTATTGCATTGAATTTTCAACTTTGAACGCGATGCTATCGAACATAGTTATCTGATGAAAATTTGTTTCATGTTGAAACATTGAATAACAACTTTACGTATTTTACGACTCAGGAAAGGTTGTAATCGTTATAATTTTAATGAAAACTGGACTATATCATGGAAGTTGATTTCACTGTCCATTTCTTTCCTGGTGATTCAACAAAAATTGCTCTTATTCAATCTTCTGCATTTCTTATCGTAAATTATTTCATTTTTATGAATAATTTCATTTTCTTGCTCATTTTTTATCAATTTGAATGTCAATTGCAATCTGAAACAATAGCTTTCTGTAAAGTTTTGTTCATTCAAAGTTTCCCTTATTTGACGATTCGTATAGATTAATCGATGATGCACATTGATCTTCGTTATATCAAACCACAAACTCTTGATTGGATATAAAGGAACTCTGACTCATCCAAATTTTGATTTCAAATTGTGCAAAATGAAAGGATTTGTTGGTGCTTTTAGTGCCCTTAATATCCTTGTTAATATCAAGTTGATATTATATAACAAAACAACTTGGATCAGGATATTAAATTTTGCTCATTTTACAAATCGGGACTTTTTATCACAATGCACTGACTTGACAAAGTAAAATCTGTTGTTTGCATGTAAAGATAGTGAATATCAAAATCCAATGAATAAACGTGCTTATCGTAATTTCCATGTTGATTATTGAAATTTTCATTTGCTAATCATTTTCCACCTTTCAGTTTCTGTATAAACTCAGCTTGAAATCATTTCACTAAGCTAAGAGTGCCTTTTATCTATTATAATTTATATTTTTTCATTTCAAATCCTTTTTGCTAAACACTCATCCAACCGTTATGCATATGTCTTTGAAAATGTCTCAATTCATTTCATATTACATATTATTTTATTTAGGTGAGTGATTCCAATTTTTTCATGTACTTTTACTGATTGTCTTTCTCATTGTTCATCAATTTAGGCCTTTCAATGTTATCCTCAGTCGAATGCATTAATAGCAAATATGTAATGGCAAGTCCACCATTCAACTCAACTAGCGGATTCTTATCATTTTTAGATGAAAATAATGTTGCCCTTAGTCAATGTAAGTATAACAATTTCATCAACTGATTGGTATAAACTTGTAGATTAACATTGAACTATTCAAGAATTCAAATTGTCTCAGACTTTGAGCAAAAGCTATGAGTACAAAAGCACGTTGAAACCAGCTGTAGTGTCTTTGTTATGTAAAGTTGATACCAAAAGCAAGTTTATCCTCTAATTTAATTTACTGAACCTAATTGTTATTTGCTTTTTTTGTTTCATGTACATCAAGATGGTTCTTTGGCAGTCTCTGGTTTCGGACTTTTATTTTCGTTCATCGCATTGATTATGGTGATCCAAGTGAAACGCCAAGTTAGGAAGGCCAGACGTCCCAGGAAGGAAAAGACTGAGATGAAAAATCTGAATCACAACCATTTGTCGACCATTTCAGAGGTTGATTATGCTGTGGATGAATTTGACCAAGTCTAAGTGAATTGGCACCAATGAAACCCATTCAAAGCGCTGTTTTTTACGAACCTTATCCCTCCATCACCACATCGATACTATTGATGTAATCAATGTAACCTTTAATTTGTTGGACAATTTATTGTCAACCAATCTCATTCAACTGTACAAGATAAGCAAATTACCCAATGTAAATACATGTGATTTTAAAATTTAGAGTCAATTGTGAAATAAATTTCTTACAAATGAATCTTCATTGTATCCATCATTTAACATGGAGATAGGAAAGGATCAATTGAGGTTATTTTTACCCATTTACGTGTAAATTGTTTATTTAGGCATTTCATTTGTGTTTAACCTTTTTTGGTTACTGATAGTGTTGATAGGAACAAGATAGATAAACAAAACTGACAAAATATGAACGAATCATTCATTTTTCTCATCTCATCACAGATAGACTCTTTTTGTATTTTTTGTTTCACCAATAGATTGACGCCTACCAATTTGATTACAAATTAACCAACATAATGGTTGATTGTAATGATGACAATGACTGACGATCAGTTAATATGTTAATATGACATCTTGTTGAACATTCAAGTTTACCAGTTTCCTTATTATAATGAGAAAGTTAACCAAAAATGGATTAATCTTGCTCTTCTTATCCATTGCTTTCATTTCAGGTAAGTTGTCGCTAATGTTAACTCCAGATCTTACTAAATTGACTGTCCTTTTCTTTCAGGTCAATCATCGGACCCGAACAAGGACAAAGCTAAATTACCACCTAATAAGTATCAGATGACCGTCCTTTTCCACTGGGAACCAAAATTACCAGCCGATTCTTATGGTCAACCAAATTGGCCAAAACTCATTAGACTGTTGCTATCACAGATATTTTATGATGTTGCTCTCGAGACCTTTAACCACATAAATAACGGTGAGTTTTTTTCACGAAGCAATTAGTGATTTGTATTTGATTGGAATAGTGTTTAATATTTTAATATGAATTTTGTCTGAATAACCAAATGTACTTCTCTAATTGTTGATTTTGTCATTCAATTTGAAATGTATTCTTATCAATATAAATGCAAAATAATTGATTACTAATTTTGGATAAAATTTGTGCTTTTTTTCATAAAATGATCAGAATTACCAATACGATTAACATTACCATTGGCTATTGGATTTGGTGGGTTAATCACGGCAATAATTGCTTTAATCGTTGCTTGTCAGGCAAATTGGAAGATTACAAAATATGAATTTAAAAGTGCTGAAAGAAGACGAAGAGAACGAGAAATCGAAGAAGTCCATTTGAAAATATATGAACAAGTAATGCATGGTGATAGGCATGATCCTTATATCAGTAGTGATAGTTATGGACATTCACTGGAAAGGCTAATACGTAAATGATTTTTTTATCAAAAATCTTATTTATATTTTCGTTTCTCAATGATTCACGTTTTGATCTTGTTGAACTTTTTGTTAGATATTTTGATTTGTAATTAAAGAACAAAAATATCATCGATTTATGTTCGATTTGAAATGAATATCAATAGTATTGACCATTCTGATCTCAATATTTTTCTTTATTTACACAGAAAGAGATATATTTTCAATACTTATATAATATATTTATAATAAAAAAGACGAGCTTAAATAATTCCATGTGTCATTTTCAGCATCCTCATTATTCTGATTTCAATCCTTTTTATCGCTTTGAATTGACTTATTGGATCCTTGGAAATAGCGCTTTATTGATTCTTCTTCACCGGTCATTATGCCATTATCTAACACCGATTGGACTACATGGCTAATAATCACTGCAAAATTACTAAAGCATTTTATCGGTATTTATATTTGATCCAAGGCTCGGATAACATTTGATACTTCAGAATTGATGAATCTTAGGAAATGCAAGCTCTGAAATTTATCAAAAGAATATCGATTTGGCTGTTGATCGACTCATTCAGTAAAATAATCAGTGAATTTTTTCAACTGATCCGAATTGAATCTTATCCTTTCATCTTTCTGCTTTTAAATATTTTCAGGTATGTGTCATCGTAAACAGGGAAAGAATTACAATGTGAAAAAGGTTTGTTGACATATTGCAATATTTTTCTGTTTTTCTCATTTTTTTAGACTTTATTTGTTAATTTATAACTTTTAAAGTATATAAAGGGACGGGAATCTCAGTATCTTTGATACCCTTGGTTCCATCCTGCTCCTTGAACTCTTCCTCCACCTCCACGACCGTGATCTTGATACCCTCCTCTACCACCTCTTCCTCCACCTCTGTGACCTCCACGAGGATTGTCATAGCTTTGATTATGGTGGGGCTGTTGGTAACCAGATTGTTGGTAATCATCTTGATATTGGCCTCTGGGATGATTTGAAGAGTGGTAACTTTTATCACTAGAGTGTGGTGAGAAAAATTGAAAGAAAAAATATGGTTAAATAAAAAATCAAATTTCAAACAAAAATCAAAAATACCTATAGTATTGGCGTGGCTGTTGTTGGTGATACGACTGATCAGAATGATCTCGTTGACTATGTTGTCCTCTATTGTCCTCATAAGATTGGTGTCGTTGTTGATATTGACCTCCAGCATCACCGTATGATTGGTTCCTTTGCTGACGTTGTCCAGCTGAATCTCCAAAAGGCTGATTGCGTTGCTGACTATGTTGTTGATAACCTCCTCGTTGGTTTCCTCCACCGCGAGGTTGTTGTCTCTGATTTTGCTGTTGTTGAAATGTTTCTTGAGGTACAGGTGGCTAAGTGAGAAAATAAAAGATACATTAATATTTTTCCACTGAAAATTCAATCAAACATACTTGCTCTTGTGGTCTTCCTCCTCTATCTGGAACATGACCGATCAAGAATTTTTGAAGTGAAATCCGCTGCTGTTTACCAACATTGGCCATTCCTTTAGTTTTTGGTGTTTCAATATCACAAATTTGGTGAGATTTACTGACAACAGAGTTTAGGAGTTCAAAACATCCACTTTTACGAGCAGCCAAAGCATGAGCCAAGCTAACATTAGGTTTCGGATCCAGAATTGTTCGCAGTTTCCCATACGCTGTCTCAATTTTCTCACTAAGACAAGTATCTTTTTTTTCTCCTTCCTTCCATTTAAATGATCCGATAGTACAATCACACCGAGTAATTAATGTTTGACGACGTATATTATAGTCTTCAAATAAGGCTGTATTGATCCTGTTCAAAACATTCCATTCCTTGGGAACAAATTGTGTACCGTCTTTCAATAATAAAGGCTCTTCCGAAGCGAGCGTTGATTTTTTCAATTTTTCATTGATCTTCTCTTTCATCTTGCTGAATAACTGTGATGATTGGACATTAGCTGGTGGTTTACCGATTCCAAGAATAATCATAGACGTTTTCAAATCTTTTGCAGTTTCGCTTTCATTCATATCAATCTTCATACTCCTTTAAAGAAGAAAAAAATATTGTTAGTATCATTGATGACAGATAAATGAAGGAGACGTGAGATAAGTAGAAACATACCCGTCAGCAGGTTTGTTAACAAATAATATTCTTGATGCCATCAATTCACCACATAGACAATTTAAAATAGCGAGTCGATTTGTGTCAACCTTTAAATCACAACCAGTCAATGGAGATTGAAGTCCACGAAGAAGTGAATTCAATTCGATCTTAAATGCATCTAATTCAGCTTCAGAGCTCAACTCATTGACAATGTAATCATGGTGTAACATGTCATTAAGCTCATCAGTAAGCCAGTGAACAATTGCCGAAAATTCAAGCAAAGACAAATTATTGGGTGTTCCTTTGGTAAGCAGAGATTCAACTTGAGGATATTTCAATAGCTCTAATGACTCGATAACATCTTCAGCGAGTTTCACCATATTGGCCTTAAAATTTGACAGTCACCAAGTTGATAATCACAAACTGGACAAATTTACAATAATATCCGAATCCAATTTTTGCAAAATGACAAGTGTTACATTCTTCAAAAACTCAACATAGAAGAAATAACAATTAGAAGACAAAAAACGTTTTAGTTGAGTGAATTATCAGCTAATGGGTGAAACTTTTCATTAAATGTGAAAATCAGCAGCAACCAAAACAACTGAGATGAAGATTAAAAGTAAAGAATTCAGATGGCGCTGATAGAATTTATAATAGAGCTAAAGAAATAATTTTTGAATTTACCGAAAGCCCATGAAGCATGATAAATGATAATGATTGAATTTAATTAACTCATGCTAACATTTGTTGTCTAGTGATTTAACATTATGATAAATGCTTGTTTTAGTTTGCATGTCTATAGTAGTTTATTACACACATTTTGAAGCATTTATCACGTTGAAAAAGTAGTAAGTACGAAAAAATTTCCTTTCGAGTTAAAAGTTGAAGCTTTGTAGCATTGTAAGGGCTTGAAAACTGAGCTCATAAGTACTATGAAATAACTAGGATCAGTGATCATCTAATAGAATTCGTCTGTTCACCCGTTACAGTTATGGTACAACCGTTTTTCAGAACTCAATGAGCGCCAACTTGGCTAAGATTTTTAGTGAAAAAACTTGGACGCATCAAATTGTCAAAATTTCATTTTGCAAATCACAGTTGTCTTTGTTATAAAATCGTCAAATTCTGATGGATTCATCGATACTACAAGAAGCTTGGTTGAAAACTATGCTGATTAACAGGACTATACCCTCTTTGAGTATGAGCTAAGTTGCATTTGGATTTTCCTGATAACTCGTCCTGATTCAATTAACACTTCTTGTTGACCATTAGATATTATTTGCTTTCTCTGTGTAAAAACTATCCATAAATTTAAAAGGGCGAAGGCAGATGAACAAGCTGATGATTTATCTGAATTAGGCAAACTACCTAGCTTATATAATTTGGATGGTACTCATAATAACATGATTGATGATATTGTTATTGTGGACTATTGGCATTTGAACTTGCTTGAAATCATGAACAAATCATCTACTGTTAACTATGCAGTTAAAAAGTAAAACCAAATTCATATTCTTTATGAATTTTGCGGCTTTTAAGTCCCAATCTTCAGGTAGGTTTTCTTGTTTTATTTTCATTGCCATTGTTATTATGATTATTGTTAGTTATTAACATTCGAATTATGTAAAAACTCCTTTTTTCATGGTTGATTGTACTAATGGCTTTGTATTCACTCGATTTATTTATTTACCTTTTATTTCAAATGTTTTATTTTCTGCCAAAAGGGTAAAAGCAAACCAGCCGGAAGCCTGTTTTCAAGACCAAAATTTAAGGTGGACTTAAGGTGGACAGTCAAGTTGATTTTTTCGGTTAAATTTTTGGAGATATTGTTATTTTCCTTACATTTATCGTGATCTTTGAAATGATTAATTTGATTAGAAGGTATGATTTGAACCGTACAAAATCGGAAAGCAAAGAATAATGGATTATAAACTAATAGTCAGGCCATTCTAATCACGTTTACAGATCTTAAAGAAGAGGCCAAAATAATAAAAGGTAATTTAGTTTACATTTTATTTCAATCATTAATCAAATCGTAATATTTTTCAATCGTATTTCATTTCAAAAATTGTGAAAAGGTTAAAGAGCAGTTTGTAAACATAAAGGTCCAAAGTTATGATTACAATACAAAAAGCTAGTTCAGCATTTATCGAGCTTTGCATTTTTCAGTAATGTTTTCATTTTTTGTCATTTTTCTCAGATTCCAACACAATTCATGTTTTCTCATTCGGGGATTGGTCATTTTAAACTCAAAGAAGGACAAAAAATCATTCATTGGATGGTCCAAGTACTTGTATTTTTGGTGATATTGAAGCTGCAATTGATCTTGAAATGTTGAACACCGGAGATGAAATGAAATTTTAAGCTCAACACGGATCGACTTTTCCAAAAGGAAACCAAGTTCAAATCAACTGTTCTTGATTGTTGTCCTACAATCGGTGTTTTCATTGATGAATCATGTTGGCAGAACCAATGGCCCTCCAAGTCACCTCACAAGATTTATACCTTAAAGACAATTGCGATCGGTGCAAGCAAATTAGCTAATTTGATGGGCTAAACGGTTAAGAGGCTAACTAAACTGAAAATTATTCAAACGTATAAATAGCTTTAAGGGTGAAATTTACTTTCGCATTCATAATCTATATTAATACAATTCACTTATCCCAGGTCATTTAACTATTATTATCAATTAACTCATCTCTTTAATAAGCGTTACTGTTGTTATTAAGAATGAGAAACAGTAACCGAGCAAATTAAAATCAAACAATTAATTGATTATCACCCTTCTGTTTTATCTTTCATCTTGTTATGATTTGCTCTTGATCAAGAATTGAGGCAAGAAAATGGTTAAAGTTAATTAAATGATGATATCTTTCAATCAACTGTCCTGAAACAATTGACACTGAGCAAAGTTGGCAAAGGTTTCTAGTTGACTTGAAGAGACAATAATTTACTGATTGGTCTTCCAGGTTGCCTTTAGCGTTGATTGTTAGCCCTTTACTTGTACAGTTTACATTTATAATCATACTTTAATCGTGTCCAATTAAGTGTTCAAATGTTATTTTAACGTGAAAAGGTTGATTATTTTGTTAGTCAATTTTATCATATGTGATCAGTGTAAGTACATTGTATACAAGTGATTAACATTTCAATCAAAAAGTTAAATCTTTCAACCTGAAGCAAGTCATTAGTTAATCATTCAAGGTTAATTGAGGGCGACCTTTAATCAACTTTACTAATTGTAAAAAAGATGAACGGGAAAAGGGTTAATCGAGGTATCGAATTGTTGCAGACTATTTATAGTTGTAGGAACTAGTGATGGGCGATGTTGTAAAATTTTGTAATCGATATTTAATCGAAATTTTTCAATCAAATCGATATTATCGATTTTATCGATTTTATCGATATATCAATTTATCAATGTTTGATAATAAAAATTCAGCTCAAAGTTATAAAATAAGCAAACATAAACGAGCCACAACATTAAACTAAATGAATTATGAAGGTAGCGAATGTAAAAAACAAATTGAATTAACATTTTTTGATCTAAAGCGAATTTTTTTCTGATTTTATGTCTTCAATTTTTGTAAAAAGACACTCGCAGGTGACTCAAGTTGGTGGAGTTGTTAGATACTTGTTCGCAATATTGTGTAATTTCATGCCGGTTTAGAATATCGATATTCGAAATTATGTATCGATTTAGAGTTTCGTCACAAAAATCGATTCAATATCGATTTCGATGTTAATATCGCCCATCACTAGTAGGAACCAAAACATGATTTCCAATCAGCTTTAAACAAATAAAGCTCTGATCATCGCCAGTTTTTTTTCCTTCGCTATACAAATCTTACTAATAACATTCAATCGGACAGGTTAATTATATCACCTCAATGTGAACCAATCAAGAAGAAGAAGAAAAGAGGCGAAACACAAATCTCATCAATCACTTTATCTAACCTCTTCCGAGCCAAGTAAACAGCAAGAGTTCCGTTTTTAATGGTGATCACTTCAATAAGAAACAAGCGAAACATTCGTAAATTCAACACAAATTAACAGCTTCAAGCTGATAATGAAATCAAAAGAGAATCACAATTTTTGATTGAACATTTGACTGATTAAAATATCATTAATTACAATAAATGTAAAACCAAAACATATGGTTGACCGATTCACCAAATAAGGCCATCTAGAGGACAGCGATTGCACCAGTTGAAAGTAAACAAGTGAATTATTTTTCCTCTTTTCCCACTTTCTATTATCAATTGATCTTTTCATTAAATTGTTCATCATTACACCTTAATCTAAACTGATTAATGGTAGGCTCAATATTCATTTTCATGCTTATACAAGTAAATAAATTCAACTTTTTTTGTTTCCGCTTCTACCTTGACAATCACTGGACACACACACATAGTACTGTTACACTATAACATACAGATTATCATGATCAAAAGTGTTATTATTTTTACTATTATCATGTTATATTAATTAATGATCAAAGCGTTGATTAACAATCAATTTGCTTGTAAACCTAACCCAAAGTTAAATCGGATAAACAGCCGGAATCATTAATAAACTTGAATATTTATACCAATAAGTATGAAAACATTTAGTGTTTCTTGCGTCGTCAGATTTGCTTTTTTGGCTTTATTAAAAGATTAAATGGTGACCCCAAAGAGTTAACAAACAAACTAACTAATTAAAAACCTTTTTTATTTTAATCAAGTGTAAATTTGTTTTTACATCTTTGCTTATTACCATTAATAATTATAACAGCATGATTATACACATCAAGTTAGGCATGAATCCAAAGGAACCAAGCCACTGATGGAAGAGCCGGAAATTTTCATCTCTACACTGAATAACATTAATTCAATCATAAGGATAGCTGTTGGTTAACTTGTTGAAAGATTGTGTTGAAGACCTTTTCCAGGCTAATTTGTTTACATAATATTTATACATTATTATGATTACTATTAAATATAATTTCCTCTCCTTTAATCACCAAGTAGTTAGTTAACTGATTTTAGATCATTGTGAATGATTAATTTGTGTTGAAATGGAATCTGTAAGTTTGCTAGAATTGTGAGCCTCAGTTAACAATGAAAGCAAGTTTATTTGGTTACAATTTGATTGCTAGTTACACAGATCTGCAATGCTATCATGCTAAATGGAGTTACATGTTATTTATACTGTTAAATTATTACAATTTGTAAAAGCCTACATTAGTCTATTGTAAGAGTTAATTTAAATGTTGTAAATATAAACTTTCAAATTGACAGTCAATCCAATTAAATATGAAACGAATGTTGAATCCAGCTTTTTGGTCCATCTTTTTAAAGCTTGTGTTTGCTGGTTTCAATCAAAAGATGATTTTTGATAATAAAATGATAACCCTGTTTGTGGTTGAAACTTCAACTTTAAGGGTCTTCTTGGTTGATTGTAATCCAAACCTTGACAAAGAAAAAAGTAAAAGGTTGTATTTAATTTGAATAATGATTATCATTAAAGTTTCAATGAAGCCGTGGTTCGGTTTCACAGTGAAATTGATGGTCAATTTTAATCGCTCAATTTAACCAGAATTATATAAGTTGTTTGTTCAATTATTACATCAAATGTATGCAATGATATAATGACCAAAATACACTTGAAACTGATTGATCTAGGAAACAATAATTGAATAAACAACACAAATGGTTATTTATTTTAATGAGCAAACACTGCAAATCAAATTAACAGACCAATAATTGACCCTAATTGATATTTATTGACTCAAACACTTGTCTGGCTCTTTTAATTGTATTATTAATACTTTGGATGGATCTAGAGGTTTGCCAAGCCAACAGACACAAGCTTTACCAGTAAATGTAACCAGAGATGGAGATACAGGATAAATCAGCCGAACAGAGCCTCATGAACCTGAAATAATTGTACTTGAAATCCATCCATGTGGTTGATTCCTCAGGAATATAACTATCCAATCTGCAGAAGGCTTGACCCGGTAAATAACTCAAAGTACCAAAGTTTGGTAATAAAACCAATTAACTGCAATAATTGAGTTTGTCTGGAAGTAAAGAAAAAAAGGTTTTAATTAATGGTGAAATTGGCGTAAATAAAAATGTTGAAATATATTTTCAAACCAGTCTGTGTGTATTCAGCAATTGCAAATGCTATTAAAGCTGTGTCTTTACTTACCTTGAAATAATGTATCACCACCAAATAAATTTATTCATCATTTCCATCTTGATTGATCAGATTCAATGAAAATACTCTGGAATAACCAGAAACCATTTATTATGCAAAAGCATCATAAATGGTTTCTGGTTAGGGTTATCTGCTGAGTTATCCAAATGTACTTCTTGAATTGAGTAGTCAAAGAGACAAAGGAAAGGTAACAATGAACGACACAAAATATCCAATATTGAAGACAAACCATTCCATGTTACCCGAAGCTTGAATAATAACTAATGGCAAAAGGAAGGAATTCAAATTTTTAAAATAAAACTTTCGATCTCTTTAAGAGGTAAATGACAAAATTTTTTAATTTATCGCCAATTTAACTGAAAACTGTTGGCCACAAATCATTTAGTTTAACTATCAATTGACAGAAATTTTCACCTCTTCCCGATCTTATTATTCAGGATTATGTGATGAATCTGACAGCGTTGATGATGTAAAGATGTTTTTGGTTAAACTGTTGTGAACTGTTGATGGCAAAGGGAAGTGTTAAAACAAAAAGAAAACACAAATTAAATTAAATTAAAATTTGATACTCACTATTTTTGATTAACATCTCTGATAAATATAAAATTTGCTAATAAGCTGTTGCCTAAAGGTTTGAGAAGCGGCAAAAAGCATAAAGCATAAATGATGTTGAAAGCCGAGCATAACTTGTCAATTTGGAGCCAAATTTGATTATTATTTTTCGCAAATTGTGATCAATAAAGTTTACACATTGGTTTATTTTATTGATCTAAATGTTCATTTATTAATGTTTATATGCATTTATTGTTGGCCATCATTTTGTTTGGTTTACACCAAAAATTAAAGTTGAAATTATTATGTTTTTTGGTATTTTTTCCATGTTTAGTGCAGTTCATATTAATCGTTTAGCTTTACCATTATAATAAATCATTCATCAGTTTTTATGCTTATCTTGACACTGTTTCATGTAAACATTAGTCAATTTATCCTTGATCATAAATTTTCTGCAAGATAATCTGCTCTTTTTTTTAATTGTTGAATCAGGTTAAATGAAGATTGAGTTTAACCCATTTTAATTAGCAGTAATAATTGTACAGTTGCACTTTTATTTTTACTCATCCCATTGAACAGCTCATTGAAATAAAACAGCTTATGTGAAAAAAGCAAAATTGACTGATTGACTCGAAATCAGTTGTATCACATAAGTGCAAGAAATCTGCTAATTGTGAAAAGATTGATTATTGTGTCGTCATTCAATTAATGGATGGAAAATGGATTATTAATTGAAAGTTGTTGTTCAACTAGACACAAATTGATCACATCGGCAATCGTCTTCATCATGGAATTGATTTTCAGAGCTTTAGCCAGTCTCTCTATTTATGATTAATTTACTTCACTATTGTCTTTTGAATCTTCTTGGCTTGATCTTTGGTGGTTCCAATTAATCAGTCGATTGGCTTCAGAAAATGTTTAGAATCAGCTTGATCAAGAAACTTCCAAGGTCTTGGCGATACAAATGATGATCATGATAAAAAGTATAAGAGGGAAAAAAGTTCATTAGAAAAAGTGAGTTTAATTTAAACACACCAACAATCTTAACAAGTTACTTTGATTGATGTGGTTTTATTACCTTTATTTGGTCCGGAGAAGACTAACAGATTAATTCTGTCCAGTGGTATTATGATATTTATAGCATCCAATCAATGGAGTGGCAAGTTAATTCATTTTAAAATAATATCACATGGATTGCCAATGTTGACTTTGATGATGATATTGCCCATGTTATGGTTGTTTCAGTGAAGGTTGATTATGTCATTGATGAGATACTCAACCAGGATTCAATTGATTTTGTTTTCCCTTTGATAACTAAAATTATTAACCTTGATTATTCTGGTAATTTAAGGATAGGATAACAAGAATGACGAGTAATTGCTGGAACCAGAAATTAGTTATTCGTCTTTGAAGAGCATCGAGTGGTAAGTAGACGCCGGCAAATACCAGACTTGCATCAACCAATCCATCTTGTTCAGTAAGCAGGAAAAGTTACCCCAAGGTATCAACAGTATGTCCTCAATGATTAGAAGATAATTGATAAGTCAAAAGACTTCAGTACTTGCGAAAAGTGTTCGTAAAATCCATTGTTACATGAGTTCTAGATGATGCACAAGGTGAAAATTAGACAGAAGTGTCATATCATTAAAATTCATCTATGAGACCAGGGAAAATAAATCCTATTAATGAACAGATTCAACCATTTTAGCTAGAAAGCTTGTTTGCAACCAATAGATTAATCTAGTCTTTTCAACACTTTTCATGAAATGAATGTCAATCTTAAAAGGTAAAAGGTTTTAGTTACAAAAAAATATCATAGTGGCTAAGATGTGCGTCTAACATAATGAAAGTGAAGCTAATCCAAATTAAAAGTTGAACTCTTTGTATCCAATTTTGTTTGTTAATAAACACTGATTTATAACATTGAACTAAGCAACGGCCAAAAACGAGACAAATTAGTATCCAAATTTTTAGCTTATCTTTCAACTTGTCAGTTGAACAATCAGGAGAAGGTAATTTACCTCGCTTAAGCTCCATACAGTCATTATGATTCTGTAGACCGAATTTCAATAATTTAAAATCACCGGCGTTGAAATATGTAATAGCTAGTTTATTTATTTGTAAATGAAATTGACGTTAGTAACTCAACGTTATACATCTTGTTACACTCGAACATCAGTTCAATAGAATATCAAATCTTGGATTGCCACCGAATCATCCAAAGAATGGAGGGGGAGGAAAGCCGAAAGGTGGTGGAGGAAAACCGAATGGTGGCCGGGGAAAGTCAAATGGTGGGTGAGGCTTACGACATGGAGGTTTAGGTAAGACCTTTGAGGGGCCGACATTTTTAGATGGCTTTTCAGGTTCAGATGAAGATTCAGGTTCAGTGTTTGCTTTTACGTCGGCCAAAAGTTCTTGGATCTCCCATAACAATCTTTCAATCTTGGCAGAGTCAGTTTCTTCTTCAGTGGTGTCGATTTTTGTCTCACTTTCAGTTTCTTCTGAATCTTTTTTCAACGTGGCTTTCGATGGCGAAGTTTTACCTGAAACAGAATAGTCAATGACGAAAAAATAACAATTATAAATAACTTATGATCATCGCATTATCCATAAAAATTGATTTTATACACTTACCTGAATTATTTTTGGTTGCTTTACCATTGTTTGACTTGTTTTGCGAGCCAAGAGATGCTCCTGAAACAGAGTAGACAACAAGAAAAGCAATGAAAATAACAAATAAACGCATTTTGTAAGAGTTTTTCAAGACCAAATCAAACGTTTAACTTGGATAACTTGTAGTTTTTAATGATTGAAACAAGTCAAATCGTCCTTTATATATATGAAATCTCCTCACCCAGAAGTCGTAGATACAGTCGAAGTTGATTCAGCAATCAAATGATCGGAAATGCTGTCAAACACTTTGATCGACAATTCGAAAAAAACCCTTTTCGCCAGATTTTCTTTTGTTTTCTATCACTAATCTAACCAATCGAACCTGGAAATGAATTGTTTTTACCAACACCAGAATTTTTTATGAAAAAACAATGTAAGTCAGATGTTTCGACACTGTCATCCAAATAAAATAATATAACTACAGGACCTTTGATAATAATTAAAGACAAAAAGATTAAATCAGATGATTGACAATCAGAAGATAATTGTCAAAAGACTTCAGTACCTGCGACAAGTGTTCGTAAAATCCATTGTTACATGAGTTCTAGATGATTCGCAAGGTGAAAATTAGACAGAAGTGTCACATTATTATAATCTACAAACATTGAAATTGTGTCGCTAAACGTAATCAAATTATTGATTAGTTCAATTGTCGATATTTAAATTCAGTAAATTTTGATTGAAGCAGGAACCCATTTACTTTCACTTTACCGGTTTCAAGTGGTCAATCAACCTTTCCCTTAACCATCATTTTCAACTACTCCAATCATTTATTCACCATTGGATGACCATTTATCAGCATGACAGTTAACTTGTCTGAGAGTCCAATTTAATTGAATTGGTTTGGAGGGCATCTATGGAACCATGGAAAATAAATCCTATTAAGGAACAGATTCAACCATTTTAGCTGAAAAAACTTAATTGCAACTTTTAGATTAATCTAGTCTTTTCAACACTTTTCATGAAATGAATGTCAATCTTAAAAGGTAGCTACAAAAAAATATGAAGATGCGAATCAAATGTGAGTCTAACAAAGTGAAAGTGAAGCTAATCCAAATTAAAAGTTGAACTCTTTGTATCCAATTTTGTTTGTTAATAAACACTGATTTATAACATTGAACTTAGCAACGGCCAAAAACGAGACAAGTTGGTATCCAAATTTTTAGCTTATCTTTCAACTTGTCAGTTGAACAATCAAGAGAAGGCAATTTACCTCGCTCAGTCACCATACAGTCAGGTTTCAACCGATGACGAGTCAACTTATTCTCAATGTAAAATAAAAATGGCAGCCTCAATAATTTTACTTAAAAATCAACCAATGAGATCTTCCTTTCGTTAGAAATAATCTTTCTGGCAATCTTTTCTTTTCTCGGCAACACATTTTTTTAACAAATGGCAAGTTGATCTTGCAGTCATCTTTAGATTGATATCTTCAAAGACATTCAAATAAATAACTTCCCAGCCTTATTGTCAGCTAATCAACTGTTAACCGTGGAATTAATTAATTTCTAACCAAAGGAAACCAAAAAGCAATCAAATTCAAAATCATGCTTTCATCTAGGTAAGAAATCAAACCCTTTACACACCCTATGTTTGGAGCTATACAAAATCGATTGCTTCGATTAACGTTAGTAATGTTATGATTATCCCCTTTCTTGCAAATTATCTGAAGATTTCATCTTTTTCAAGGTTTTACTACTTGAGAAAGATGAAATCTATCAAGTTGGTCAGTAAGTTATTAAACTGTTTTTGAAATTAATCTGTGAATCAGCCAAAGTAAATACATTTTGATGAAATAACAGTTGATATCAAATTGCCAATAACTTGAGGATTTCATTTCAACATGAAAGCTAATCACAAGAATCTTTATCTTCTCTATTTTCCATTTTTCAGACAATTTTTCCTTCAACAATACATATTTTATCATCATTAATCTTTGGTTTCATCATTTGGCTAATCATCTCATTGTTACCTACCAAACATTTTCTTGGTCCTGTCTTCATTCGTTAATCACTTGATATGGATTTGTAAGCTCATAAGTAAATTATCACAGTGGACAACTCAACTGTCAGTCAACTATAAATTAACTGTCAGTGTTAACATATGTTAACAAATCAAATCATCATCATTATAATCAACATCTTAAACACGCGACATCTTAACCAAAAAAAAGTAGAAACCCAAAGACGATGATTAATTTCAACATCTCACCAGGATTCTGTTGTGATTAAACTGCTAATCACTATTGAGGTATATTTATTAATCCTCAGTTATTCAAAAACCAAATGTCTTTAACCAAATTACAATTGACAGGGACACCAAGGAGGTCTTAATCGTGATTAGCAAAGAACCTTGCCAGCCATTCTATTCTTAATCTTGAATTAAACCCAAATGTTGCTTTCATTTGGTCAAAAATCGTTATCCAATATAACTATTATAATATTCAAACCAAGGATCATCTTCAACTTGCCTCATCAAATTATCAAATTGAAACACTATTACAATTGGCTGAAAATCAAATTAACTTCCCATTAATTGTAAGACTCTACTTTGTTAAACGGTTGACTGAAGGCAAATATACTTGCCTTTAAGTCATTATTTAAATTGAATTTAACGCTTATCCATTTAATAACAATTTAACATGAATCCGTTCTTTTCCATCTCTTTCCAGCTGTTAACATCGTTCTGGTTAAAACAACAGATAATCAAAAAGTATTGATACAATCAATTTTTTGAAAGAAATTAAAGGTTAGATACATTGATTAAATACTAAGCCCAGTTAAGAAAACAATTTCAAGCATTAATTGTTAATCGGGTGTGGACAACTGATTAAATATATTCATTAACGAGGTCAGGATTTTAAAGTTGA